CTCAAAGCTCCAGAAAAAGAAGAACAAATCAACACTAAAAGCAATAGAAGACAGTAAATAACTAAAATCAGAGCCAAAGTCAATGAAATTGAAGCAACAATAACAAAACAAATTCAAAAATATACACGAAACAAAAAGTTGGTTCTTTGGGAAAAACAAGTAAAATTGATAACCTCTTAGCCAAGCTAACAAGGAAAAGAGAGAGAAAACTCAAATCACTGAAATTTATGATGAAAAAGAAAATATCACAATGGACACTCCTGAAATGCAGATGATAATCAGAAACTTTTTTGAAAATCTCTATTCCAATAAAAGAGAATCATGATGACATTGATAAATTTCTAGAGACATATGACCTACCCAAATTGAACCAGAAAGACATCAAAAATTTAAATGAATCAACTTCAAGCAATGAAATTGAAGATGCCATCAAAAGCCTACCAACAAAATAAAGCCCAGAACCAGATGGAATCTCAGCCAAGTTCTATCAGACCTTCAAAGAATAACTAACACCAATTCTCCCCAAATTATTCCATGAAATTGAAAAGGAGTAAACCCTTCTAAACTCATTCTATGAAGCTAGTATCACCCTGATACTAAAATCAAACAAAGACACATCAAAGAAAATAAACTTCAGATCAACATGAACAAAGATGCCAAAAAGGCTTAACAAAATTCTGGCAATAATATATAAAACTTATTTAAAAGATAGTACATCACAATCAAGTGGGGTTCATTCCAGAGATGCAAGCCCAGTTCAACACACAGAAATCAATAAATGTAATTCATCACATCAACAGACTTAAAGACAAGTATCATATGATTATCTCAATAGATGCAGAAAAAACATTTGACAAAAAACAACATCCATTTATGTTCAAAACACTGGAAAAACTAGGGACAGTAGGAACATACCTCAACATTGTAAAAGTTATATATGCTAAACCTAAGACAAACATCAATCTAAATGGAGAAAAATCAGAAGCATTTTTTCTAAAAATTGAAACAAGACAGGGATGCCTGTCCAGTTTTCCCAGCACCTTCTATTCAACATAGTCCTTGAAACCCTAGCCAGAGCAATTAGACAGAAAAAAAAAAGTAAAGGGATATGAATAGGAAGAAGAGCTCAAACTATATCTATTTGCCAATGACATGATTCTCTATAAATAAGACTCAAAACAGTTCACCAGATTCTTAAACTAATAAACATATTCAGCACAGTAGCAGGATATAAAATGCACACCCATAAGTCAATTGTGTTCCTGTACACCAATGATGAATCAGATAAAATAGAAATCAGAAAACAATTCCATTCACAATAGTCTCAAAAAAATAAAATACTTAGAAATCAATCTAACAAAAGAGGTAAAAGACCTCTACAATGAAACTACAGGGCACTAAAGAAAGAAATTAAAGAAGACCTTAGAAAATGGAAAGACTTCCCATATACTTGGATAAGCAGAATTAATATTTTTGAAATGGCCATACAGATTTAATACAATTCTCATTAAAATTCCAATGTCATTCCTCATAGAAAAAGCAATCATGAAATTCATTTGGAAAAATAAGAGACCCAGAATAGCCAAAGCAATTTTTAGTGAGGAAAATAATGCAAGAGGCATCACAATACCAGATCTTAAATTATACTACAGAGCTATAGTAACAAAAATGGCACAGTTGGCACAAAAGTAGAATTGAAGATCAATGGATTAGAATAGAAGATATAGAGATATACCCACATAAATGCAGTTATCTCATACTAGACAAAGATGCCATAAATATACATTGGAAAAAAGCCTCTTCAACAAATAGTGCTGGGAAAACCGGAAATCCATACGTAGTAGATTGAAATTGAACTCCTATCTCTCACCCTGCACAAAACTCAACTTGAAGTGGATCAAGGACTTTGGCATCATACCAGAGACCCTGTGCATACTAGAAGATAAAGTAGGCCCACACTTCATCAGATCCACTCAGGAACAGACTAACTCAATAAGACTCCTAAAGCACAAGAAGTAAATCAAGAATCAATAAATGGAATGGTATCAAACTAAAAAGCTTCTTCACAACAAAGGAAACAATCAAGAACATGAACAGAGAGCCTACAGAGTGGGAGAAAATCTTTGCCACCTGCACCTCAAATAGAACATTAATCTCCAGGATATACAAAGAATACAAAAACTTAACACCAAAAAACAAATAACCCAATCAATAAATGGGCAAAAAACTGAGTAGTCACTTCACAGAAGCAGAAATAAGAATGGTCAAGAAATATATGAAAAAATGTTCAACATCTCTAGCAATTAGAGAAATGCAAATTAAAACTACACTGAGATTCCATCTCACTCCAGTCAGAATGGCAATTATCAAGAATACAAGGAACAATAAATGTTGGTGAGGATGTGGGGAAAAGGGCACGCTCACAAATTGCTGGTGGGACTGCAATTTGGTGCAACCACTCTGGAAAGCAGTATGGAGACTCCTCAGAAAACTTGGAATGGAACCACCATTTGACCCAATTATCCCACTCCTCAGCTTATACCCAAAGGACTTAAAATCAGCATACTACAGTTGATGCAGCCACATCAATGTTCAGAGAAGCTCAATTCACGATAGCCAAGCTATGGAACCAGCCTAAGTGCCCGTCAACAGATGAATAGATAAAGAGAATATTGTATATATACACACAATGGAATATTATTCAGTTATAAAGGAGAATGAAATTATGGCATTTGCTGGTAAATGGATGGAATGGAGAATATGATGCTAAGTGAAATAAGCCAGTCCCCAAACACTAAAGACCAAATGTACTCTCTAATATGGGGATGCTAACCCATAACAAGGGAAGATTAGCAGGGGAAGTATAGAAGTTCATTGGATTAGACAAAGAGAAATGAAGGGAAGAGAGTGGAGATAGAAATAGGAAAAATAGTAGAATGAATTCAACATAACTTTCCTATGCTCATATTTGAAATTGTAATGGTTTGAACCCCATGTATGTATAATATGTCAAAATGCACTCTACTGTCATGTATATCTAAAAACAAATAAAAAATTGCTAGTAAACTAAAAATTCATTTAAAACTTTCATTGTTTATTCTTAAATTAAAACATAATATCACATGTCACTTTCATAGTTACTCTTTTAGTGAAGAGTTGCCTTTATACTGGACAACAGCATATTGCAACAATATTATAAAAGCCATTATCTCTTCATGTATGTATTTAGCATTTGTGCCCCCAAAAGACACTGGACTCCCTGATTTTTTTCATTTTCTTTTAAAATAAAGGAAGATCTGACTTGGGAAAAAATATGAAAAGGTCAAGGTTGGTCCCTAGGATATCAGCTGGGAAGTCTGGATCTCCTTCCCTCTGGTGTGGTCCTTTAACATCAGATGGACTTTTGTCCTTTCTCTACCAAAACACATTCAGAATAAAGAATGAGAGCTTTCTTCTCAGGGGAGCATAAATGACTAACATCGGTTCTAACCAATATGAGGTTTCCATTGTAATAGTTGAGCTTGGCCTTCAAAGTTAGACCTCAGTAAATTCCAGGTCCAACTCTCAGCAGTTGTATAACACTGGCCATGTTAATTTTTATAAATATCAAGCAAAATTCCTGCAAAAGAGTACTCAATAAATGTTAGCTATTTTTTTATTATGAATCACAGACCTAAACACAAAATAAAACAGTACAAAAACTTTCACCATGCTGGGAGTGTAACTCAGAGGTATAAGCACTTTCCTAGCATATGCAAGGCCCTGGGTTCAATCCACAGCACTGAAAAAAAAAGAGGAAGAAGAGGAGTAAAGGAGGAAGAGGAAGAGGAAAAAATTATCAACTATCACCACAATCCTGATAGAAACTTTCAGACATCAATAAATAAAGAGCAGAAGGGACATTTACATAGAGAAAACTCTAAAATGTTTCAAACCTCCTGTAGTTACTTATTGTCATTTTGATTACTAGTTTAATATATACTGAAATGTTTAATGTATAAAAATACTGTTTTTTATGAACCCACTCTTGTTAAAAATAACAGAAGACTCAAACAGAAGAGGCAATTTGTTGCTTCATCTAATTAGAAAATTCAGAGGTGGACCAGGATAGGATTACTTGGATTAGGATTTCAGTTTAATACCTGAGATATTCTTAACACTGCAGTCCTCCATGTACTTACTGATGGAACTTCAGACTGGCTGCGGTTGGGGTATCTCATATATCCATACCATTGGACTGAAGTCCTGAACTTCACTCTGAATGGACAGATCATTTCTTTCTCCTCTTGAATGTTCAGGTTACTACCAGGCACTGATGACTAGAGCTGACTTTATGTTCCTTAAGCGAATATTTGTAATGCCACATAACTTGATTCTCCATACGCTCTCCCAGTTATGGTTTTGTCCTTCATCCTTGGCAAATTAGACACAGATATCACACAGTTTGAACATGAAGCTAGTAAAAATAAAAATAGTACATTCCAACAAGGGTGACAACAGTGACAGTATCGACAGCAGCCAGTTACCAGCAATAACAGAGGCAGTGAGCCATTCTAGTGCCAACATCAATGATGAATTGGTGGGACAGGCACTGCAGACTGGATCTGTTAATGGTGGCAGTCATTTCTTCACAAGTCTTATAGTATAATTTTGGCCATTGTTCCCAGCTGCATAGCCTGATAGCCTGATTCTAGTACTAGAGATTTTTAATAAATCAACCTTTTCACTTCATATTAGACTAAATTAATTTTGTTATTTACAACCAAAAACCATTACTGCCCATGCCCATCCATGAATCAGTGACTCAAGAATGGCTTTAATCTTACTATTCTAGACCAGCTCCCTGGAGCTGGGGACCTGATTAATCCCACCCAAGCTACATGGCTTCTAGTAGTGGGGCAAAGGGAGAAAGGTTATTGGGACAGCCACTTCTAAAAACGACAATGTAATGTCAGCAAACTTGCTAACTTGTCCTTTATGTTTTTCTTCAACCATTCAAGTGACACCAGTGATAATCCTTCTGAAGTAGATGAAACTACAATTGTTATAGAGGCCATAAGAGAATCTAGTTCATCAAAATTCATTCCTGAAGATGATGCACTTTTTGAAATGATTATAGGAGATTTTTTTCCTGGAGTGATTGTTTCAAAAGTAAATCAACTTGCCTTGGAGGTAATAAGATCTTTGAAAATCATCACAAATTATTTAGTTGTGGAATATCAATTTATACTAAGTGTGGATTAAATATACTATGTTCTTCCTGAAATGCTCTATTTATATTATAATAGGGGTGATAAAAATGGAGACATGCATATCCTTTTGGGGAAAAGGAACTTTAGACTAAATGTAACTGTTTAGACAAGGAGAACTGTTACATTTTTTATTCTCAATTTTCTCATCTTTCAGATGTTGATGTTGTGTTGGTTCTTCCTACTTTGAAGAGGTATTTTGAAAATCAATTTAGAGTCAGGTGCAGTTGCACAGATCTATAATCCCAGCAGCTCAGGAGGCTGAGGCAGAAGGATTCCAAGTTCAAAGCCAGCCTTAGCAACGTAGCAAGGTTGTAAGCAACTTAGTGAGAACCTGTCTCTAAAAAATAAAAAATAAAAAGATCTGGGGATGTTGCTTAGTTTTTAAGCACCCCTGGATTCATTCTCTGGTACCAAAAGAAAAAGAAAATCAAATTAGTTCAGAATTATTTTGCAATCATTAAAATTATGTTATAATTATAGAGACCTTTATTGTTTCTTTTACTTATTTAGTCTCATAGTTATTGTCTTGATTTGGTAGGATATCAGTGTTTTTGTTTCTAATATTATTGTATAGCATCCTACCACTCCCTGAATTCTAGTATGTTTCCATAAGGCCACCAGATTTGCATCCCTAAAACATATGTTTGATGAAATTAAAAAGGCCAGAGTGGATCATTGTTGCTTTCAGTACAAAATCAAAATAAAGTATTTTGACTTATAATAGCTTTTACAATCTGGCTGCACCAGGTTGTCATTTGAATATATTCTGTCCTTCCTTCCATTTCCCCTCTCCTCCCTGTTCTTTCAACCACAAACTTCTCCCTGTTTTCTGCTTTCCAACCTTTTAACAAGTTTCAGGCCATTAAGCATATTATTCCTTTCCCTCAGACTCTATTTGGGGGGATGTTGTTTCTTAAATTTATTTTAGAAAATGTGATTTAAACAGTTTCATAATTATTCTTTTTAAAAAAATATAATTGGCAGGCTATTTTGTAAAACTTTTTACCCAACAAGTACAGAATAAATATTATTTTTGAGCACAATGAGGAACTTAAAAAAGAAAAAAAAAACAAAGATTGAGTCAGGGAAAATTAGACTTGATAGAAATAATTCAAAAGCAGAAATTATAATGAATTAAGTTGCACATTATATATTGTTCTACATATGCATAGAATATGCTTTGATCATATCCTCTCTCCCTACCACCTTCTCTTGTCCTCTTTCTTTCCTTATCCTGGTCCCCCTACCCTAGTAGTACCTATTGTACTTTCATGTGATTTTAAAAATTTTTTATTCTTTTTCCAGCTTCCACATATGAGAGAAAACATATGGAACTTATCTTTCTGAGACTGGCTTATTTTGTGTAACAGTTCCAGCCATTTTCCTACAAATGACACGATTTCATTCTTCTTTATGTCTGAATAGTATTGCACTGTGTGTATGTATATGTATGTATGTATGTATGTGTGTATATATATATATATATCACATTTTCTTTATCCATTCATCCATTGATGGGTATCTAAGCTGATTCCATAACTTGGTTATCATGAATAGTACTACAATAAATATGGGTATACAGATATCTCTTTTGTATGATACTTTGCTGGATTTGTTCAGGAGTGGATCATATGGTAGTTCTATTTTTAGTTTCTTGAGGAAAAATAACTGTACTAATTCATATTACCACCAACAGTGTGTGTTTCTTTTTCTGACTGGGTGTGAGATGGAATTGCAAAATAGTTTTGATTTTAATTTCTTTGATGGCTAATGATGTTGAACATTTTACATATACTTATTGGCCGTTTGTACTACTCTCAAAAAGTGTCTGTTCAGCTCATTTTGTATATTTATTGGTTGGATTACTTGCTCTTCTGGTGTTAAATTATTTTAGTTCTTTATATATTCTGGATATTAATCCTGTTTAGATGAATAGCTGACAAATATTTTCTCACATTTTGTAGGCTGTTTCTTCACTCTGCTCATTTTTTTTTCCTGTAAAGGAGTCTTTTAAGTTGAGGGAGTTATATTTGTCAATTCTTGCTGTTGTTTCTTGAGCTATTTGAGTCCTATTCGGGAAAACATTGTCTGTACCAATTTTCCCTACATTTTTCTCTAGTAGTTTCAAAGGTCTTGGTATAATTTTAAGGTCTTTGATCTATTTTGAATTTATTTTTGTACAGATTGAGAGAGAGGGATCCAATTTGTTTTCTACAGGTATTTTTCCCAGCACCATTTGTTGAAAAGGCCATCATTTATTCAGCATGTTTTTGGCTTCTTTTTTGAGAATCCGATAGCCATAGATGTTTGGGTTCATTTCTGCTCTATTCCATGGTTGCATGTTTCTGCTCTTGTGCTAATATACATGGTGTTTTGTTACAATGGTTCTTTAGTATGTTTTAAAATTAGGTATTGTGATGCCTCCAGCATTGTTCTTTTTGCTAAGGATTACTTTGGCTATTTAGGGTCTTCTGTGCTTCTGTGTGAATTCTCAGATTACTTCATCTAGTACTGTAAAGAATGTCTTTGGTATTTTTGTGGGAATTGCATTGAATCTGTAACTCACTTTTGGCAGTATGACCATTTTAACAATATTAATTCTCTAAATCCATAAACATGGGAGGGCTTTGCATATTCTGGTGTTGTTTTCAATTTTTTTCTTAAGTGTTTTATAATTTTCATTGTACAGGTCTTATCTCCTTGATTAGGCTTACTCCTAGGTGTTTTGTTGTTGTTGTTGTTTGCTTGTTTGTTCATTTTCTGATTCTCTCTCAGCAAGTTCATTATTGGTGTATTGGTGTTCATTATTGGTGAGCTACTAACTTGTTTGTTGATTTTTGTATCCTGATACTTTGATGAATTTGTTTATCAGTTCTAAGAATTTCTTGGTAGATTCTTTAGGATTTCTTAGGTGTAGAATCATGTCATCTGTAGACAGGAATAATTTGACTTCATCATTTCCTATTTGTATCCCTTCTCTCCCTCTTGCCTGATTATTCTGGCCAAAGTTTCCATTACTATATTGAATAAGAGTGGGCACTCTTATCTTGTTCCTGATTTTACAGGAAATGCTTTCAGTTTTCCCCCATTTAGTATGATATTGGCTTTGGGTTTGTCAGACTCAGATTTCTGAACTGCTGGGATTACAGGTGTGTGCCACCACACCCAGCCCTTGACCATTTTTAACATCATTCTTTTGAATTCTTTAGTTTTTAATCCATTTCAATATCTTTGAAGTCAGTTACTAGAGAAATATAAATTTTGAGAGAGTCATGTTGCTTTGTTTTTTTCACATTTCTTATGTTTCTACATTGAGATTTGTATCTGCTGGGATGGATCTCTCTTCCAATTTTATGTGTGGGCCCTCTTAACGAACAGCTGTCTCTTGATTATGTGTCCTGGGGTGTCATTTGGTTGTATAGTGTTGTATTTAATTCCATCTGGACTTTGTACTAGTTTCCTTGTTACTTCTTGGCTGTGATTAGGAGGTTTTGACATAGATCATACTGGGTCAGAACCTGAGGGTCACATTTTCCCTGTAGTTGAATCTCCAGCAGTTCCGGTTGTATGTTATAGACAGCAGAAAATGTGAAGATGCCCTCTGTGATTATCCCTCCAATCTTATCAGCAGTGTACAGTCTGAAAAGGCATAGGAACAACCTATATAAAGGTCCCTTGTAGGTGCAGTCTCCTAAATCTTTGTGTTGTTTTCTCTCTGCTGAAACTATGGGGGTAGATGTGCAGGATCATGTCTTCAGCCTCCAGTCCCAACCATGCCTTCTTAGGACTGGGTTGTGAGCAGGAGCTTTTATATCTTCTGTTTTGTTGAAATATTTGCCAAGGTTCCCCCAGGAGAAATGCATTCAAGGAGAGTTTCTCAACACACACCCAGGGCTAAGCTAATGCTGAGTATTACAGCACATCTGAGTCTCCAGAACCCTTTGTGAAAGCCTTTCGGAAGTCAGAATAACTCTGCACTGGGTCAGGAGGCACAGGCAGGCCTTCTACAATCCACCACCACAACCCTGACACTCTGAGACCCAGTTCCCATGTGCCTGCTCAGTCCCCTGTTCTTCAACAGGTCACCAAACCACCAGCTTAATGGGGAAGTGAGTTCCATTTTCTTCTGTGTCATTAACTGGTCATCCATCATACAGATTTTTTGGCAGGATTGTTTCAGTTACATTCCTCCAGGGTCAAACTGGGTAATGATAGTCAGCAGCTAAGACAGTGCAGCAATGCCTGCTCTGGGTTCCTGGGGAAAGGGAAGAAAGCTCAGATACGACCTCTCAAGGCACTCCCCGGTATAGTACTACAAGCATATGTTGAGAATTTCTCTCAAATCAGCCTGTTTGCAGATCCCCAAACAGCTGTGTTCTCATTATCCCTCACACTGTGCCAAATTCTGTGCTAGTTGTGTGCACTTCAGCATTTTTCCACAGTCACTTACCTCAGTGAGCAATGCTCTCCAGTAGTTTTTGTTGTTGTTGTTCCTTTTTTTTCTTTCTTTCTTTTTGTTCTAAGGTCACTCTTCAGTCAGTGTCACCTCGATATTTGTTCCTCTGTATTCTCTCTACACATACCTTAAAATTTTTCACTTTGTCTTTGATATTTATAATTTCACTATAATTTCTGTAATTATGAGTTTGGGTACTCAGCCTTTTTAACATGCAATATTTTATTTTTTAGTTCTCTGAATTAACAAGAGCAATATAATGTCTGATCTTTTGTTCCACATGATTTAATGAGTTTGACTTTTCTGATCCAACAGTTTGCATGTTCAAGCACTAATCTATCTAAGTTTAGCTGTTTTCTTGGTATTTCCATGTGTTTTGTATTTTGTAGGTTTTCTTCATTTCCTTATTCTAATAAAATTCAATCTGTGTTTTTTTTTTCCTTTTTGCTTGTGAGGTTTCCAGGAGAAACACAGTGAATATTTGTCTCTCAACTATTACCAAAGTTTTGAAGATTTTCATTTACATTTACATTTTGAGGGTTTTACTTTAATAGGAGAAAAAGAAGAGAAATGTCAGTTGATGAGCTTTTCTCTGTTTTACATGAGCATCCTCCTATCTTTCAGAGGCAAAACCTACAAAATCCCCTCTTTTTTTCCTCTAGTTATAAGTTTTAGGCACTTTCCAGGTTAACTTTAACATTTTTCAAGTCACAGCTTTAAAAATAGCATTACCTATCTATAGCATTCTTGCATGTATATTAATGACTTTACATTTTTTAAGTTGTAGATGGACACAATACCTTTATTTTATTTTATTTTTAATGTGGCGCTAAGGATCTAACCCAGTGCCTCACACAAGCTAGGCAAGCGCTCTGCCAGTGAGCTACAACTGAAGCCCAAGGACTTTACTTTTGAGCCTCTTTATATATGGGTATTAGTCGGCTTTTAATTGCTGTGACCAAAACACCTGACAAGAATAACTTAGAGGAGGATAAATTTATTTTGAGCTCTGGTTTCAGAGATTTAGATCATGGTGGGCTGAATCCAATGCTCTGGGCCCATCTGGCTGGTGGTGGCCAGGAAGTAAAGAGAAGAGGGTAGAGGCCAGAGGAAAGATAAACTCTTCCAGGGCACACCCCCAGTGACCCGCCTCCTCTAGGGTTACCCCACCTGCCCACAGTTACCACCCAGTCAGTCCACTCAAATTAGGATGGACTGATTAAGTTATAGCTCTCACAATCCAATCATTTCACCTCCAAGCATTTCTGCATTAACATAGGAGCTTTTGCGGACACTTGATATCCAAACCAATCTTTCTTTAATGTTGTAGTTTTGATGGTTTACACAATGACAGCTATGTATAGGCTGTATATTCTGCATAAGAACATATCTTACTAAAGAAATATACCGTAAGCCTGCTATTTATACTATTTGAGATGCAAGAATGTAAATCTTGTGTAATAGGGAATTGTGATCTATCTAATTTATTTGCATCTGTCTCTAATACTGTCCAAATATAGAAGACATTAACTCAGAGTAACCAAAAGATTAACTGAGAATTACTGAAACCATGTCATCAAATTAAAGCTGTGTGTAGTTGGCCATCCAGTTAACTCCAAGGAACAACACTGAACACTTTACAATAAGATTATGATTTTATTTCAACACTTTCCTAAGAATTTATTGAAATATTTAATCAAGAGAATGACTTGTCTGAATATGTCCTTGATTTTCCCCATTATGTTGAACTACTGTGCATCCAAGCAATTTTTATTCCACATCTGTGTGGCTGGTATTATTAACAGCAGAGAATTCATAAACTTTATGCCTAACACTGCCCAAAATTCAGGCCTTTGAGTAGGTGATCTTGTCAACTCTATTTAAAAGCGGTTGCTCTTTAACAACTCCTCTCAGCTGATTGCCTACCTCCAGCTGGTCTTGCCATAGGAGGTGCCTTTTTCTCCATTGCAAAGTCCTGCTGAATTTCCTTCAGCTGCTTTGTTTTGTCTAGTTGTAAGGATGTGAGGAATGAGCAATGAAGTGGAAGAGCTCAGTGAAAAAGAAAGGAGAAATATACTTTTTTTCTGTAGGTATAGTTACCAGTTGTATCCACACTGAAATAAACCCTCTTTTAGTAGGAAGCATGGTTCCCCTTATAATTCTTTACTAGAATATTAAGTATCTTTCCAAGTCACAACTACTCCTTGGAGTATTTTAATGTACAATCAGTCACATGGTGTCTTGTCTTTTTCTTTCTTTTTTTTTTTTTTTGAGAGAGAGAATTTTTAATATTTTATTTTTTAGTTTTTCGGCGGACACAACATCTTTGTTTGTATGTGGTGCTGAGGATCAAACCCGGGCTGCACGCATGCCAGGCGAGCACGCTACTGCTTGAGCCACATCCCCAGCCCCGTATCTTTTCAATCCTATCAATTTTATTTGCTGTCTTAGAATATTCTTAACTTTGAAATATTAAAATAATTATTAGGAAATTGATAAACTATCTAAATGTAATTAAAATTACAAAAAGGTATAGAACCTTTTACATTTGCTTTTAGTGTAGAACAAACAGCTATACTCTAGTAATTGCTAGTCCTTAAATATATCTTAAAATCTGGCTTCTTAAGCTGGGAGAGGCTCTATGAATTTGCTACCAGATGTCTCCTGAACATGAAATTTTGTGTGTATTATATTTTTTTTCTAAGAAAGAATAATAGTAGCTTTAATTATTCTCAGAGTCAGAGGTTTTTGAACTAGAAAAAATTTATAACTATTGTCTTATAGTAATTGGTAACTAGTTAAGAGAAATATCAGAGAATTAAAATGTAAGGATTTGGGCTAAGGTTATAGCTTAGTGGTAGAGCACTTACCTAGTATGTGCAAGACTTCCTGGGTTCAATCCCCAGCACTGCCAAAAACAAACAAATAAACAAATGGTGATTGGTTTAATTTACAATGCCTTTTAAATTTATGTATTTATTTCCTTTTAGAAAGTGATATATATTGCAACACAACAATTAGGCTTACAACACTGGTCACCTCAGAAAGAGAAGATCGTTCAGTTTTATAATCAACTTCAAGTAAGTGCAAAATAGCATTTGGTAAATTTTGCCTGAGTTTTAATAGGTACAGTCAAGGAGGAAAATAACAACAGTTATAATGAAAGAGGGCTATTATAATATTCTTAAAACTGAGGGACATTGATTAACTGTCCCCTTAGACTTTATCATTTGACCCCTGATCATAACTCTCAACAAATTAATCTTTTCACCTTTATCCCCTTAACAAATTTTTGTAAAACCCTACAAATATGGTGTTAAATATTCTACATCCCATTGCTATACCTTCTTTGAATCATCCATGAATGAACTATTTGCAAAAACAGTAGAATGTACCTATCCCTGATTACTAGTTAAAATTATACATCCTTTCAATGTTTTTTAGCCCTGACTTTTCAGATTATGTAATGTACTTATTTTTCAATTGGGTTGTTCATCTTTTTCTTAATAAACATAGATTTTTTTTCATCACACATTTTTTAAAAATATTTTTTAGTGTTGACGGACCTTTATTTTATTCATTTATTTATATGCGGTGCTGAGAATTGAACCAAGTGCCTCACACATGTGAGGCAAGCACTCCACTACTGAGCCACAACTCCAGCCCCTCATCACCTACTTTTATATCATAATTCTATGGTTATATGCACTGCAAACACATTCTCTTAAATAATTGGCTTTTCCAAAATGTCTATGGTGTTGACTTATAAGAAGACATTTTTAATGCAATAAGGTCCACCACTCTTTTTCTTTATGATCTGCATTTTTCATATCCTATTTTTAGAAAATTTTTAACACTATTTTTGGAAATATATTTTCTGTAATTTTTTTCTAAAAGTTTTAAGTTATTTGTATTTTCCATTTTTAAATTGTACAAAATTTATTTTTCTTTTTTTATATTTATTTATTTTTCAAAATTTATTTTTCTTAAAGACATCAGATAAGGATCCAAAAAGGGATAATCAATTTTCCTAAGAGTTTTCCTCACTGATTTGCTGCTTCTATAGTATATCAAGTCTTCATGTCTGGGTTTTCTTTATTGCTTTTTTCTATATTTTGTTCTTTGGGTCTATTTCTCTGTTTCTATTCCTATACCACATAGTCTTAAATATCATAACTTTTTAATAGCTTAAATATTATAGTTTTTCATATCTGATGGTAACTAATTTCCCACTTTTGTTATTTTTGAAGTTTTCTTTCTTCTTTCGACCTTTTCTCTTTCGTAAGAGTTCTTAAAAGCAGTCTGTGGACTTCTATCAAAATATCCTATTCAGATTTTGAGGTAGAATTTAACTAATAGTTATGGCGAGAGTTTTCAACTTGTGATATTACATCTTTTCCTCCATACGCATATTTGTCAAGACTTTATGTAGCTTGTCAAGTTAACCTGCCACTGGTTCATATTGGCAAAAGAGAGTAGAATCCTTGGTCAGAGACAAAACACACAACAATAGCAGTAGCCACAATAATATCTTCTATGCCAGTTCCTTAAGACTTACTTCCCACAGTAAGTCATACCTGCAGGTAGGTCATACCTGCACATGTAGTAAGTTGGGTTACAGAAGACCCCTGAGCTTAGGAACCCCCCAATTTTAGAAGGGTATTAAGGGCAAAAAAATGCCCAACCTTTGTCCCTGAGTGAGACATTATTTTTAAATTCTGTGTAGCAAATAAATTTGCTCGCATGTAATGATGTAGCTCAGTGGTAGAATACATGGGTTTAATTCCTAGCATATACACACACACACACACACACAAATAAATCCTGTATCCTGATAGGAGACACTGTTTGCTATACAAATATTTTTGAAAAGATAAATTCTAGATAAAACTGCCAATGCTTCTGCTCAGAATATATTTAGAAATCTTTCAGAAACACCTAAAGCATTGCCTCCCAACAACATCTGCCCCTCATTTATACATCCACTTGGCTTCTGATCAAATTTCCTCATGAGTACACTATTCTGTTGACCACTCTGATTAATCTTACTATCAGGGACTAGGACCAAAAGTATATTCATTTTAGCTCATACCAGACAAAATTAAGGCTTCTGTTAATAGTACACCAAATAGCAGGATAAGGCCAACCTAAAGTATTGATCTCAATCATTCCTATCCAAGGTCTCAAGCCCAAACAGTTGAACATATTCCATAAACCATCAGAATCTACCTTAGAAAGTCAGATGGATTTCTCCTTAAGTTTCTGTATTGACCATGCCTGTTGATCTCTGAAGCATTGATCCATACTTAGCAATATTTATTGTCAACTGCACAGATTTTTGCCTTTACCCACAAGGAGAAAGTGTCTAGTGCAATTTTATCATTCATAACAATAGTGGCCAGCGAATTGAGGCTGATCTGAATGCCTTACAAGGTCAAGGTGCTATTCTCTTAAATCCTGGATGCTTGCCATTCATAACTACCCTTAAATTGTAGTTACATTGTTTTTAAGGAGGAGTCAGATTAATATCTGACTTTTATGGGAGAAATGCAACACTAAGGGTACACATGTTTCACTCAGAAGGAAAGTGAGTTTTTATTTTTGTTTTTACAGTTACTGGGTTTCCTAAGTGGAACCTATAGCACTTCAAGGTGAGGAATGGTATAGGTTGACTGTCCTCCAACATGGGTTCTCAATTCAACTCTAATAATTAAATCTGGTTCTTATTTTTGAAGTGACTGGGTGGAGAGTCAGTTTGCCATGCCGTCAGCATGTCATTTATCATTCCATGGAATGATCTAGCACTAGGAACAGAGATGAGAAAGACATTCAAGACATCTGGAGGTATTGACAGAGTTTTGCTCAGGAGATGCAAGAGCTGAGCCCATCCCTGCTATTTCTGATAGACTCTCCAGTAATTAAGCAGAATAATAATTAAATCCTATCAGTTGAATTAAAGATAGTCCCATCAGGGCTTTTGCCTTTTTGAAGAAGGTTAGAAAGACACATATGAATGACAAAAGATATTCTATATCCCTTCTTGCCCTCTGATCCCCTCAGAATCTGAGGCATTTCTTCTAGTTTTTTTTTTTTTTTCCTGTCCCTGTACTACCACAACACTGGTGTATCCCATTTCAGTAATTTTAACCATAGTAATTTTCCAAGCATCCCCTGCTTGCACCCAGACCTCTCATTTTGAAGGATTATATGCAAGAAGAAGAGGGATATTTTCATAAAATTTACATTGGTAATGTACTCAGTCAAGTTATTATCCTTATGATCTAATACCATATCAATCTAAGAGAATCTAGATAGTTGAAACAGGATTAAATTTGACCCTTCTAGTCTTCATTTTTATCATCCTATCACATGGAATATGTATCAACCAGAGTGGCATGGTGTTGTCATTAGGGAGAAGAAAGAAGCACCATGCCCAGGAATTTTCAGGACTGAATCCCAACTTTTCAAAATATGTCTATATAATTCCCCATATCTTTTATATTAATCATTACTCAAGAAGCAGATGAAAGGACATGATCTTTTCCTGAAGACACTTAAATTCAATGATTGAACTTCCTCGGTAAGATATACAGGCAAAGAGAATGTGGGGGAGATAGAATCAAACCGAGTAAATTTTTGAGGAGACTGTTCCAATGCTTAATAATACCAGATGCTTGTGGACTTTAGGGAGTGTGAAAGGTCCATCAAATCCCTTGATCATTTGCCCATTGTTTAGTGACTTTTGTGATAAAAGGTACACCATTGTCAGATTGCAAATGGTCCAGAAATCCACACATGTAATACAAATTAGTTTCAAGAAACAATGATATGGCCAGAGTCTGCTGATTAGATAGTAATATCAACCCCATACCTTAAATAATTTCAACATTAGTGAGACATCACCAATAGCCCTTTGGGGAATAGAGATCTAATGTAGTCAATGTGCCAGGACTCTCTTTGAGTTCATGCCCTATTCATTGTGGCTTCCCTCCCTGTGAAACAACTATATCAACTTTTGGCAAGAGTCATTAAGTGTGGTAGTAGCTTCCGCATCAGAAACACACAGTTCTTTATTATGATGGTGTTGTTTTAAGGTGAAAATTTTAGAATGTTCACTTGCAATGTTCAGATGTTGGATTCACATAGAGGTTATCGCAATCTGGACAGGGAAGGCTCAATTAGCAAGTTGGTTCTGGGCAATATCATCAAAAATGAACCATGGGCCCATGAGTGAATCAGATTAGTTGGTCATCAGTCATCATTTATTTCCACACTTCACAGCCTCAAGGCAGGCGGGGTGGGGGGCATGTTTAATCTTCTAGACTGAAATTTTTTTCCAAGTGGCAGACCAAATATCTAAGCCATTGGTAAAACCCAAGAGTCAGAGTTGTGTCCACCAAGTAAAGTGAATAAATCTTCTGGCTCTGAGGCTGACCAGTGAGATGCCTAAGGGTTCAGTTTAGCTGAACCATCAGTAAACCAGACCCAGGCACTTTATCCAGGGAATCTTTATGAATCAAGATCTCATTGAACCAACAGTGTTATTCTAAAAAGTCAAGTGGGGGATGAAGTTTACCCCAGGGAGATAGCTGCCATATTTTCATGATTCACTAGAATAAGGCTAGCTGTGTTCTTGAATATTCAATTTCCATTTGATAAAAAAGGCTTTTTGGACCATTCTCACCTTGCCAAATGTAGCATCCAGGACTGTCTGATCAGAGAATTACAAGAACTCCGTGAGGCTACAGAGACTGTAAAGTTAGTGAATATATATTCTATCTTTATCCATATTTGAATTTTAATGTATATTTATGTCATTATTTTAAAAAATAATAATTTCCTTAATGCTATTACAATCTTCCAGAAGACATGGTGACAACCAAATGTTTTAGTCATCTCAGGTTGCTATAACAAAAATCTATAGAATGGGTAGCTTAAACAACATTTATTTCTTTCAGTTATGGGGGCTGGGTAGCTCAATATCAAGGTACTGGCAGATTCCATGTATGGTAAGATCCTCATCCTGGCTTGTAGATGGCCTCCCTCTTGCTGTGTCCTCATATAGTGCAGAGTAAGATAGAACACATGCAAGAGCAGAAGACTCCTGATGCTTTTAGCATTAGCCTAAGTAAAAGCAGAAGTCAGATTATAATGGATTGAACAGCAATTTGAAGGAAGAGTCTGTGGATATAAGCAGATTTTTTTAAATAAACTTAAAATTATTTATTAATGTTAATTTTGTTTTAGGCTTGCGTTGGTGTGATGTTAGTGGGCCCAACAGGTGGAGGAAAAACAACAGTCAGAAGAATTTTAGAAAAAGCATTAATACTATTACCAGTTGTAGACATGTTATCAATTAAGCAAAGGGAATCTTATTCAAAGGTAAATGTTCCACTAAATAAAATGTTTCCCCTATGTTCATATTTTCTACTTATATTAACATTTTATCTTTTTTCCATAAATATTTTCATTACTTATTAAACTTATTGCTAGGAATTTGATAGTTATGTATCATTGTAATGATACAAACTAGTGTGAAATAAAACTATTGAATTGTATATTTGTTTTGTATATTTTGTATATTTGTTTTGTACATAGTCACTTTTCTAAATGGATTGTAAGTTTCTTTTTTGGTATCAATTAAATCATCATCAAATCAAAATAATTTTTTGTCTCTTTTCTAATATTTATGTAACTTATATGCTTATCTTACTGAACTGATTAACCAAAACAATGTTAACTATAGTATATGTTCCTTACTTTATTAGGAATGCATTTAATATGAAGCTTACTCTTGACATCTGACAAGTATTTTTTATCATACTTTGGAAATTTCTATTCCCCAAAACTTTGTTGTTGTTGTTGTTAGAATTTATTAACTGATTTTCAGCTAAAATATTCAGTTAAAATATTTTAACTGGTTAATGTAATAAGCTATGTTGATGGATTTACAAACATTGTTATCCTTGAGTTTTTAGAATAGCTCCTAGTTAGTCATGATCCATTTTTATGCAGTATAAAACTAGACTCCAGTACACATTATATGATTGAGTTACTTAATTTAAATGTATTCCAAAAGTTTTAGAAAGTCAGGTTCTGAGTTGTGTGAATCTTTTTCTCTGTTAGTATAAGCTACCCTGCTTAAAAATCATTTGTATAGTACTTTATCTTTTATCCTTTCCTCTAAATTTCCTTTCTCAACAGATTTCAATAAGTTCTTAAGCAATATTATAATTAAAGAGGTACATTATCTCAGCAATAATAATAATAATCATAACTCATATTTGCAGAGTACTAAATATGGGTCCAGTACTGTGCTAAAGCACTTTTGTTTAAATTATCTCGTTTAATCCTCACAACAATGTTATGGGTAATAATTAAAAATGGTTTTTTAGTATAAAAGTAGTATGTACAATTGTGAGAAGTTTGGAAAATAAATAAATAATAATGACCAAGAAAGAATGAACTGAAAACATTTTTTTGTTTTACTTAGTTTTGAAAAGTATGCACTTAGAAAATTTAATCTTCTGCACTTGAAAATTTTGAGCTACTATCATTATCTGAACTGCTGTCCTTAGTGTCACTCATATAGGATCTATTTACCTTTAATACTGCAGTGTTCTAAACAAGCCACAATGAACTTTCAGAAATACACTGACATTGCACCAACACCAAGAATTCCAAACTTAAGTTTCATAGTGCAGGAGAAGGCAAATGTGCATCCATATGCCACTGGTAAATACACTGCTGCTATTTATCTTTTAACAGTGTGATGAACAGAATTATTCCATGCAAATCATGCAAAAAAAAAAAGTCATAAGCCAATTTGGGGGACTAAAAAATAGGATGTGACAATTATGTGGTAATGAAGATTATACGGTGAAATACCGTAGATGAAACAGAGACCAGTTCTTCAGGCAACACCCAGACAGATTATAATGTTGCAAATAAGATGTACTTGAGTGACTATTCTGACAAAGTTTCCTACTCCCTCTCTCATTTCTACATCAACCCTGGTTCCAGATATATCACATCCCATCTTAAATATTGTGTTCCTAAATGCAGCACATTGAGATTTTCACCCTGCAACACACACCTCAGATAATTATTTGTAATGTTTAGAACTTTTTAAAATAATGATTTATAGATTGTGGATAATTTTAATTAATCAATTTTTACTGTTTCTTGTAAATCACCACGTTCATAGAGATTTTTCCTTTGATGGAAAAGTCCTTCTAAATCATTTTGTTAATACTGCACAAATCAAAAAATTGTACTATAATGTATTTTAAACCACACAGGATTCATTCCAGATTTCAGTAAAAAAAGGAAAAGTAGATCTTTGTGTCTTAAATCCAAAGTGCATCACTCTTAATGAACTATATGGACAATTGGATCCTAATACTATGGAATGGACTGATGGCTTATTATCAGCAACATTTCGAAATTATGTGTATTTAAATACAAATTACTCAAAGAAAAACATGGATATTGGACTAAAGTCAAGAATCTCAGGTTTATCTGCTGTAAGTACAGAATGAATATTTTTATTTGCTAATATGGATTAAGTACTTATGCAATGATTAATATTAAAACATCACTAGATACCTTTTAGTTTAAAAGTAAATTTAAAGGATTATGAACAGTTTTTTAAAAAGAAAATTATAAATTATTTAAAAAAATGTGCCATTGTACTTTAAAATGGTCAGTAAACAATTGAGTGAAGTTGAAGGTTTTGCTTTGAAAGAAACACAAAGTGAATTCAATTTAAATAGAAAATAATATAGTGATCCTAGCACCAACAATTTACCTTACAAATTAACAAGGTAAAAAAATACTTCAGTAGAAATGTGAACTAAATATTTGATACAAAATTCATCAATGAATATAAATGGCAGAAATTTGAAAAGTTGTATTTTTGTTAGTAATAAGTAAGGCTACTGATAAATTTCATTAGCTAAAATATGTTAACAAACAGTGATAGTTGAAACCAAGGAGTTTAGTAAATATAAAAACAGAAAAACAACATTCCACTACATTGTAAAATATAAATTCCTATATAATTTTGGAAGTATAGTCAGCTCTATCAAATGTACTATATATTCTTTCCTCCAACCCATGAAAATAAGCTTATCAATGTATTCTTTTGTAGATTCTAACTTTTCAGGGATATCTTGATAGAATTTCTCTTGTCTAAGATTACTCTGTTTCAGGTTGAGCACCTCTATTCTGAAAATCAAAATCCAAAATACTTTAAAACCTGAAACATCATTGCTGACTTGATGCCACAGTGCAAAATTCCATACCATGTAACTTGGTTTATGCACAAACTTCTTTTAAAACTATTTTTAGAAGTTACCTTCAGGTTCTATGTATAAGGTATATGTGAAACATAATTAATTTTTTATTTAAACTTGGGCGGCCCATCCTCTTTAAGTGTATGCAAATATTCCAAACTCCAAAACACTTCTGATCCCAAGAATTTCAGATAAGGGATACTTAACTTGTGTGTTGATGGTTACTTAATTATATAAATAAATATTTTTAAAGCTTTTATCTTTTTTTTTAACAAACAGAGGAAGAACTTTATTAGCAAGCGAAAGGTAAAGATATACACTTTCAGAGCAGAATGCAGGCAATCTGAGTGAGATGCCTACCAAGATTAAAGTTGAGTTTTTATTAGGGTACACAATTAGGTGGAATGTGTGTGAGCAAAAGGGGCTGCATTTCACTCAGGATTGGAAATACTGCACAAAATCATATTTTCCCATTAGGGGTCTGGTCTGATGTAGGTTTCAGTTCACATCCACATCTTTGGCAGTTGGTGATTGGGTGATTGGGTCAGAGCATCAGACACAAACCTTCAAAGTTAATGTTCTCTTTCTATTGAAGTCTTCTTTATCTTTTGCTACATTCCAGAAAACTCATAGGGAATTGAAAGGTTACCAAGTAACATTCCATTGTGTATATATACCACATATTCTTTATCCATTCATCTATTGAAGGGCATCTAGGTTGGTTCCACAACTTAGCTATTGTGAATTGTGCTGCTATAAACATTGATGTAGCTGCATCCCTGTCGTATGCTGTTTTTAAGTCCTTTGAGTATAAACTGATGAGTGGGTTAACTGGGTCAAAAGGTGGTTCCATTCCAGGTTTTCCAAAGAATCTCCATACTGCTTTCCATATTGGCTGTACCGTTTTGCAGTCCCACCAGCAATGTATGAATGTGCCTTTTTCTCCACATCCTTGACAACATTTATTGTTCCTTGTATTCTTGATAATTTCCATTCTGACTAGAGTGAGATGGAATCTCAGTGTTGTTTTAATTTGCATTTCTCTAATTGTTAGAGATGATGAACATTTTTTTCATATATTTGTCGACTAATTGTGTATCACCTTCTGAGAAATGTCTGTTCAGTTCCTTGGAACATTTATTGATTGGGTTATTTGGATTTTTTGGTGTTAAGATATTTTGAGTTCTTAATATATCCTAGATATTAGTGCTCTATCTGATGTGTAAGTGGTAAAAATTTGCTCCTAAGCTGTAGGCTCTCTATTCACCTCGCTGATTGTTTCTCTTGCAGAGAACAAGTTTTTTAGTTTGAATCCATCCCATTTATTCATTCTTGATTTTGTTTCTTGCACTATAGGAGTCTTATTAAGGAAGTCAGGGCCTAATTCAAAGTGATGGAGATTTGTGCCTAGGTTTTCTTCTATTACACAGGGTCTCTGCCTTAATTCCTAGGTTGTTGATCCACTTTGAGTTTTGTGCTTGGTAAGAGATAGGGGTTTAATTTCATCTTGTTGCATATGGATTTCCAGTTTTCCTAGCACCATTTGTTGAAGAGGCTATTTTTTTTCCAGTGCATGTTCTTGGCACCTTTGTCTAATATAAGATAATTATAGTTTTGTTGGTTAGTCTCTGTGTCCTCTATTCTATACCATTGGTCTACCAGTCTGTTTTGGTGCCAATACCATGGTGGTTTTCTTACTATTGCTCTGTAGTATAGTTTCAGGTCTGGTATAGTGATGCCACCTGCTTAATTCTTCTTGCTAAGGATTGCTTTAGCTATTCTGGGTCTCTTGTTTTTCCAGATGAGTTTCATGACGGATATGTAGGTTTCAGTCCACATCCACATCTTTCTATTTTTATGAGGAATGTCATTGGGATTTTGATTGGAATCGTATAAAATCTGTATAATTCTTTTGGTAGTATGGTCATTTTGACAATATTAATTCTGCCTATCCAAGAACAAGGGAGATCTTTCCATCTTCTAAGGTCTTCTTTAATTTCTTTCTTTAGCATGCTGCAGTTTTCATTGTAACGATCTTTCACCTCTTTTGTTGATTCCCAAGTATTTTTTTTTTTTGAGGCTATTGTAAATGAGGTAGTTTTCCTAGTTTCTCTTTCTGAGAATTTGTCACTGATACACAGAAATGCCTTTGATTTACGGGTTATTGATTTTGTATCCTTCTACTTTGCTGAATTCATTTATTAGTTCTAGCATTTTTCTGGTGGAATTTTTTGGGTCTTCTAGGAATAGAATCATATCTTTGGCAAATAGTGATAATTTGAGTTCTTCTTTTCCTATCCATATCCCTAATTGTTCTGACTAGTGTTTCAAGAACTATATTAAATAGGAGTGGTGAAAAGAGGGCATTCCTGTCTTTTTCCAGTTTTTAGAGAGAATGCTTTCAATTTGTCTCCATTTAGAATGATGTTGGCCTGGGGCTTAGCATAGATAGCTTTTACAATGTTAAGATATGTCCTGTTATCCCTAGTTTTTCTAGTGTTTTGAACATGAAAAGGTGCTGTATTTTGTGAAATGCCTTTTCTGCGTCTATTGAGATGATCATATGATTCCTATCTTTAAATCTATTGGTGAGATGAACTACATTTATAGATTTCTGTATGTTGAACCAACCTTGCATCCCTGGAATGAATCCCACTTGATCATGGTGTACTCTTTTTTTAATGTTTTTGTATTCCATTTGCCAGAATTTTATTGAGAATTTTTGTATCTGTGCTCATTAGAGACATTGGTCTGAAGTTTTCTTTCATTGATATGTCTTTGTCTAGCTTTGGCCTCATAGAATGAGTTTGGAAGTATTCATTCTTTTTCTGTTTCATGAAATAATTTGAGGAGTATTGGTGTCAGTTCTTCTTTAAAGGTCTTATAGAACTCAGCTGTGTATGCATCGGACCCTGGGTTTTTCTTGGTTGGTAGGCTTCTGATGGCATCTTCTATTTCATTGCTTGAAATTGATCTGTTTAAATTGTGTATAACATCCTGGTTCAGTTTGGGAAATCATATGACTCTAGAAATTTGTCAATGTTTTTGATATTTTTCATTTTATTGGAGTACAAATTTTCAAAATAATTTCTAATTACTTTTTGTATTTGTATAGTGTCCATGGTGATATTTCCTGTTTCATCATGGATGTTAGTAATTTGAGTTTTCTCTCTCCTTCTCTTTGTTAGAATGGCTAAGGCTTTATCAATTTTATTTATTTTTTTAATAACCAACTTTTTATTTTGTCAATTTTTTCAGTTGTTTTTTTGTTTCAATTTCATTGATTTCAGCTCTGATTTTAATTATTTCCTGTCTTCTACTGCTTTTGGTGATGATTTGTTCTTCTTTTCCTAGGGCCTTGAGATGTAACATTAGGTCATTTGTTGACTTTTTCTTCTTTTAAGGAATGAACTTCATGCAAGAACTTTCCTCTTAGTATGGCCTTCGTAGTGTCCCATAGATTTTGATATGTTGTATCAGTGTTCTCATTTACCTCTAAGAATTTTTTAATCTCCTCTTTGGTGTCTTTTGCAACTCATTGTTCCTTTAATATTTAGTCTCCAGGTGTTAGAGTGGCTTTACTTTATCATTGATTTCCAATTTCATTCCATTATGATCTGATAGAATGCAGGTTAGTATCTCTACTTTTTTGTATTTGCTAAGAGTTGCTTTGTGGCATAATATAATCTATTTTAGAGAAGGATCCATGTGCTGCTGAGAAGAAAACATGTTCACTTGTTGATTAATTAAATATTCTACATATTTCAGTTAAGACTAAGTTATTGATTATATTATTGAGTTCTATAGTTTCTTTATTTAACTTTTGTTTGAGAGATCTAATTAATGAGGAAGGAATTCTTTATTTAATCCACTATTAAATGTGCCACTGTCTTATATGAAAATATGGAAAAAAACCCTCACTCACTCAACAGAAATAAAATTCCAGATGAATTAGCAATCTAAATGTTATGACAAAATTATAAGAATATAATATTTAGGGGCATATTTTCAGAGTTAGAAAGTCTTTAACTAAGACAGTACACCCCAAAATCCTAAGTAAAAAAATGAAAGGATTTGACTATAAATGTAAGTATGAAAATTTCTTTGCAAAAGTTACTATAAACTAAGTTAAAGCAAACTGTCACGACCTGCACCATTATTCAAGAACTGGCGAGGGGCAATGGGGGATTAAGAAAAACACACAAACATTTAGAGAGAAAAGCTGGATCAGGTGGGAAATGGAACTCTGATTGAGAACAGTGACCCAAAGCTAGCTCCACATGTTTATTATATAGGTTTTATCATCAAAAGGTTATTCGTGAGAAAGTTTCTGCAAAGCAGCAGGCTTGAAGGTCACAGTGCAGATGAGACAATTTTGTTTGTCTTACTATGCTCAGAATCTTCTATCCCTAGGAGTCAATGTCTTCATTTCAAGGTCATAACTGATAACCCTGAGCAATTGCCCCGAGCAACCAAGGGCTGGAGTCACCATAGCAACTGGGAAATGTTAACCCTGTACTTTTGCTCAGGGAAATCACAGTGCAAGACCACCGAAACAATGAGGCCATCAGACATCTAGATCCACATCACTGCTCCCCACAGCAAACCACATTTTAGGAGAAAATATTTACAACATTTATAGGTGATAAATCTAAATGTAATGACAAAAATCCATAAAGATTCATAATGTTAAATGGATCTTTAAAAATGAGTAAGAAAATATGAAATAACTAAATGAGGAAAAGATAAAAGGACATGAATAGAAAATTGATAGAATAAATACAAACTGCCAGAAGAAGTATGACAAGAAATTCAGCCTAGCTGTTAGTCAAAGAAATGAAAGTTAGAAAAATGATAGGCATAGGTTTTTCTTCTTTGTCAGCTTTTCAAAACTTTAGAATATTGATAGCAAACACAATTAGTGTTGGCAAGGATGTGGAGAAACGTGCATTATTACACCGAGTTGGTAGGAAGATTTTAATTTTAATTTTTTAGTTTTTGGTACTGGGAGTTGAACCCAGGGCCCTTTACTACTGAACTAGGTCCCCAACCAAACCCTTTTTATTTTTTTTTTATTTGGAGGTAAGGCCTCACAAAATTGCTGAGGCTGGCCCTGAACTTGTGATTCTCCTGCCTCAGACTCCAGAGCTGCTGAGATTAAAAGTGTGTGCCATGGCCCTCGGCCCTTGGTAGGAATTTTATTGCTACAAACCTTTGGGAAGAAATCTAATAAAAATTATTTTAAAATAAATACATATAAACTTTGACCCCACAATCCCACATTTTTAAAATACTATCTTCAGAAGGAGATACACTAGGGCATAATTATTTATGTCTGAGGATGATAATTTCTTAACTTTCATAATTATAATAATTGGAAATAGCCTGGGACTTGATTACCTTCTGATGAGGCCTGGAGATTAGCACCAGCTGACTACTGTCTGTTGTATTGCTAGGGCCTTGTTCAAACCTGAGACCCTTGCTTGCTCTCTCTCTCTTCAGCCCCCAGCACAGCTTTCATGTTTTGTCTTCTCTTCCACTACTTTTCTTAATGGCAGAGGAAACCAGGGCCAGTTAGCTCATGACATATCACTCAGCTCTGCTGAGGAAATGAATAATAAAATCTTCTCCACAGATAATTAAGTTAATCACATGCATAGATAAGAATGCCTCAAAGGTAGGTATAAGAAAAATTTGTATTAGAATCACCTAGACTGAGCATTAAAAATGAAAACCATGGGCTTCACCCCAAACCTCTTCAATCAGAATCACCCAAGATGAGATCTTAGGATGTGCAATTTACCAGCCTCCAGGTAATTCTTGCAAACCCTAAAATTTGAGAATTGATAAGAAGAAAAGTCTAGGAAAAATATGCACCAAAATATCAATGATAGTGGTCTATATATGGTGGAAATTCAAAGAACTTATGCTTTCTTCCTTGTGCTTTGATGTATTATTTGAGTATTAAACAACAAACATGTACTATTTTTGCATGGGGGGCAAGAAACAAAAAAATAATATTCTAAAAGGAAATAAACAGTAGTTGCAAGTCAGTTACTTGCAACTTATAGTATGCTGGTTATGTGTCAGCCTTTTCAGCTGGAGAACCTCCTGCCTTTTACATTTCTCTCACTCAAGAAAGCATACAGACATATCACTCATTGTGGTTGGGAATTTTCAAATAAAAACTTTAACATTATTGATTGCATATTTTAGGTTTTCAAACTTGGTTCCTCTGATTCAGCAGATATTGATGATAATGTTTTTCTGAATGAGTTAGAGAAAATTGAAAAATGTCCACAAATTCCAAGTAAGTATTTTTATTAAATTCATGAAGATGATTAATAATACAGAAGACATTTTGAACTGATATGAGTTATTTTATATCTTTAAATATATTTTGCCTAGTGCTATTTGGCTTGCACAATTTATTATTTCCTCTTGTGTTTATTTAAATTTTGTGTGTATCACAATTTTGTGTGATTATAGTATATATTATTATGATATAGAAATACTAAGGCTTAAATAGTTCTTCATTTTATAAATGACCTTTGATCCTTCACAAAAACCAAATAGAAATTAATGGCAAAAATAAATAATGATGTGAAAAACAGCAGGGCCTCTGAAGTGGAACTCCAAACAATTGCTATATTCCCAGGCAAAATCATGTAGCCCTCTGCAAATCTGTCTAAAATGAATGCACACCTTATATGTACTAGCCACTTTGCTCTGTGTCAGTGTGACAGAATGTGTATTTGACATGATCCCTACTCCAAAGGAGCTGACAGTCTACTAGAGGATCCCCAACCATGGTTTTCCCCACTCCAATTGAACTTCATACCAACACATCCACTGTTGGTACATTTATGATCCAGACTTTAAAAGAGACTTCTGCTGCTGCTTCTACTTCCTCTAGTATTTGTATGTCATTTTCGGTAGGATATAATGATTGGAGCATAATAAGTTTTCTTTATGGGGTTTTAGGACAATATCTAGGGCAGGTATTTCAGTCAGCCAGAACCCATCTTAGCAGTGATGGCTATATGAATCCTAGCTCTCCTCAGGGATACTTTAATGTCTTAGGTGGTTAGCTATGTTTTGTCTGCAGAGTGACCTATTCACACTTCCCTTATTCTGACCAATGGATTTTCTAAAATTGTAGAAATTGTGTTGGCTATGGAATGCCGAATATCATTGCATAACTGTCACAGATTTTATGCCATTTTTTTGCAAAAAAAGTAGAATATGACCATTATATGAAGCTTTTTAAAAAAATGTGCCAGTATAGTAGAAACTATTTTTTACCAAGCTATCTTTGGTGCAAGATTAGGATGCATGAAATACTCATGAACTTATATTAATTCAGTGGTAATGATTATACAGTGAAATATAGTGTATTCTATGATCTGAGGTTTATATCCCAAATTCATGTAACTCCTAACCCTCAAGTTAATGCTATTAGGAGGTGGGGCTTCTGGGAAATGATTAGATCATGAAGGCTCTGTCCTCATGTTTGAAATTAGTGCCCTTATTTAAAAAAAAAAAAAGGCCACTAAGAGGGGCCACAAAGAGGAAAACAAAAAGGACACAAAGAGGAAAAAGCACCCTTCTGTGAACCAAGAGGATGGCTCTCACCAGACACTGAATATGCTGGCATCTTGATATTAGACTTCCAAACCTCCAGAGCCATAAGAAATAAATTTATGTTATTTATATGTAACTCAGTCTACAGTGTTTTGTTAAAGTGGCCCAGATGGACTAGAAAGAGGAATGTGGAAAGACGAGTAAATGGATTTCAAGTGTGATATACTCCAAACTTTTCATTTATTTGATTATTTGAAGAGTATCTCTTTCCCTTTGCTATTTACTAAGAGTAGCATGCTAAAAATTACTCATGAGTGGAAGGAGCAAACTCACTGTTATGGTATTAGATACAAGATGACCCCCAAACACCTCATGTGGCAATGCAGGAATGTTCAGAGGTGAAATGATCAGATTATGAGAGCTGAATTCTGATTGGTGGAATAGTTCATTTGATGGATTAATATTTTAAGTATCATTTGGTGGTAACTGTAGGCAGGAGGGGCATGGCTGGAGGAAGTAGGGCACTGAGGGCATGCCATTTGTGATGATATTTTGTCCCTGACTCCTTGCTCAGTCTCTCTGCTTCCCAACTGCCGTGAGCTGAGAAGATTTCCTCCACCACACTCTTTTCACCACAATGCTCTGCCTCACTGACAGGCCCAGAGCAATGGAATCAGCTGACCATTGACTAAATCTCTGAAACTGTGAATCCAAAATAAACTTTACCTCCTCTAAATTGTTTTTGTCAAGTGTTTGAATCACAACAATGAAAAGCTGACTGACATACTTACAAATCATATTATTATGAAAAAGATCATAAATCGGTCTTCTATCCACATTTTAAAGATTAATTATCCAATTCATGTCTAAACAATACCTAGTGTTTTCTAAGACAATTTTTCATTTTGGAAAATATTCTCTAAAACAGAAAATTTGCAAGATTGTAATAAAAAATAGAGATTATTCTCAGTTATATTACCTTTTACCTTATTTTTCTCTCTAGATTTTGACTGGCAGTGGATTATCTTAGATGGTCCAGTGGATACTTTGTGGATAGAGAATCTAAATTCTGTGTTTGATGAAACTAGAACACTGTTCCTAGCAAACAGTGAGAGAATAGTTTTAACTAGTAAGATAAGAGTTATTTTTGAAATGGATACTCTCTCTCAGGCCAGTCCTGCTACTGTCAGCCGGTGTGCAATGATATATATGGTAAGTTTTCAAAAAATTTTCTTAACAAAGAAAACATGTTGTTTAGGATAGTAGCCAGTCACTATTGATAGCACTTTAATGTTTATTTTACTTTTACCTCTGGATCCAGAAGCACAACCCAGTAGTTCAGAAGTGACCCCAAAGCCTCATAATCTAGAATTGAATATGAATGCATTTATTACTCAATTCAATTACTCTCAATAATTGAAGTGTCAGTATTTTCCCCAACTGTAAGTAGTGCTTTCAATTAGACAGGTTAGGCTGCTGGTGTGAACTAATTTTCCAACAGAGGAAATATTTCCCTGAGACCTTTTCTTACTCTTAGAACTTGGAAAACACATTGCCAAGACAGTAGTGAGGAGGTAAAAGACACCACAAAAAAAATCAGTATATTCTATAAATGAAATTAATTATTAGCTATGATTAGCTCTGTGCTATAATATAGCTAATTAAGTCCAGGACTACTTCTAGGTAAACAGTTCCCCTCACCCACATACACTGCCTCAATACACCTCCCTACACATACTCCTCCAATTGCCTGTTGTCTGATAAAACTATGGTTAGAAACATATATCATTCCAGAGAATGATAATTACTTGAGCTGTTTTTGACCACTTGCCCTTTAATGAATAATAACTCTAAGCTATATTTGGCAGATGACACTGATAAAGCAAAAAGGAAGTAGGAGAACAGCATATTTTTTAATTTACTTAAGATTTTCTTATGCTTTTTATTATTAGGATCCTGTTGATCTGGGATGGGAGCCTTATGTCAAGTCATGGCTTTCAAAAACCTCTAAAATCATGAATCAATCAGGAGTAGATTGTCTTGAATTCATGATTCACAAAAGTGTCACTGATGGACTAAAATTTATAAAGAAGCATCAGAAACTTCAGCCATTTCCTGTACAGGACATAACAGTTATCATAACTCTCTGCAGAATTCTTGATGCTTTCTTTGAATTCATGAGTAGAAACGGAGGATTTGGAGAAGGTGAGTTTTTCCCCCTAAGTCACATTAATGATATTACAGCTTTGCCAGTCAATGGCAATTTATCATCTTCTGTAAAAGAAAATGAAGCCAGAAATTTTCAATTTATTTGGACCAACAGCAAATATGCATATGGAACAAACTAAAAAGCCTTCATGGGGAGCATATCAATAAAAGTAAATTAAAATCATACACAATATTATAAGATGACAAAAAACCTGAAGAACCCTTTGAGGTTTTCTATTAGGGGAAGATTTTTTTTTTTTTTGCCATGTTTCAACAATTCTTTGAGTTAATAGGGAAAACTGTTAAAAATTCTAATTGTAAGTTATAATCATCCAAAAGCATAAATATGCAAAGTAGTAAAACATATATAAGGAGAAACCAGTAGATTTAGAAATCAGTATAGCATTATGAATAAAGGCAACTCAAATATCCATCCTAATTTTATTTTAGAGTGAAAGTCACCTTGACCAATAAAAAAGAGAGGTTATTAATTGTAAAAGACAGATTAAGAATATAGTGTGTGTGTGTTTGTGTGTGTGTGTGTGTGTGAGAGAGAGAGAGAGAGAGAGAGAAGAAAATATATGAAAAAAATGGCTGACAGAACTACAAGGTTAAATAAGCATATCTGTTATCTGTGGGCTGGGGAAATAGCTCAGTTGGTAGAATGCTTGCCTTGCATGCACAAGGCCCTGGGTTCAATCCTCAGCACCAATTTTTTTAAAAAAAGCATATCTGTAATCTAGTTAGAGATGTTAGAAACTCCTCTAGAAGTCCTCCTATATAACATCCAAAGAGGTTTTTAAGGTCCTAAGACAGAGGGCAATAAAAACTCAGGACCAGGACTTAGAAATCAGAGTGGTCAACTCCAGAGAAAACTAAGTGGATAACTCCAACACTTAGGGTGGAGGCATAAGAGCAAATAATTACTCCAGTTTTTGAAACCCCAGACCTCCTTCAACCCTCTGAGGAATGCATTACTAAAAGTTTCAATGATGGCTCTCTGTAGACCAGAAACTGAACAAGATTTAATGATAGCAATGAAGATAATAGGACCCTGGAAAAATAAAAGCCAAATAATGGTCCTTAACCTCCAGAAACAGATGAAAGGAGCAGGGACGATATGAGTTTCAGAGAGTTATGAAGATAAGTAATAGAATATAGAATCATCAGGAGTGAAACATATGTGCCGGCAACAAGGTACCAGAAGCTTGTGTCATGAGAAGAAATCAAGGATGAGTGTCCAGGAGGTTAAGAGTAGTTGCTCCAGTAAGCCATTATAATCTCTTGCCAATTTCCAGACCTGAGCTATGTTTCAGGTTTAGAGCCATTGACAAAACAGAAGGTTGGGACCCTCTAAAATAAAATGGAACACATTTACAAAAATAATGGTACTGGTTCTTCTCCGAAGGGAATTACAGCCATTTATTTGGGTGACTTCCCTAGAGAATGAAGCATATTCAAAAGAATTTTAGAATTGTAGGACAGAGGGTCTGACTTGACATTGATATCCAGAAACCAAAGGCATCTTCATGTCCATCTCAATTAGAGTCCATTCATATGAGGACTAGGGAATAAATGACGTACAAAATTCTGACCAAAGTTCAGTTTACTAGATAGAGTTCACTAGGACCCCACCTCCTGGTTATTTTCCTGATCCCAAAATATATAACTGGATTTAATGTACTTAATCCTTTGACCAAATTGGGTCTTTAGTCTGGGATAAAAAATATATAGTGGGAAAGGTCAAATGGAAATCTCTGAAATTGCATCTGAATTGTCTCTAAATAATAATTTTAAAAGTGTCACTTTCAGGTTTGCGGGGAGAGGATGGTAGAAATTAATGCTATCCTTAAAGATTTTAAGGATTCAGGAATGGCATCTCCTTTGCATCTCAGTTTAATTTATTAGTCTGCAGCCAGCAGAAACAGATCCTAGAGGATGACAATAGGCTACACACAAACTGAATTAAGTAATAGTCCCAAATGTAGCTACAATGCCAGAAAGACTGTCTCTTCTAGAAGAATAAGGAGGTAGAAAATTGAAAAAGATCATCTATAATGATTTCAATTTTTTCTCATAAAATTAGAGCCAAAGTTATCTCTATTGAGTTGAGGGAAGTGAAATGTTGGTTTGAAGTATGTGGGAAAAACTGAATGGTCATTGTGGGGATGTGAGAGCATATTCCTTAAGAATAAATTTAAAAAATTTACTGTTTACATTGAGGGTTCATTTAAGAGCAGAAATCATGATCTTAAATTTTGGGAAGAATGAGGATGTAATTAGGAGGCTTCCTTGAACATGGAAGTAGAATCATCTAATAGAAGATGGAAATTTAATCCAAAGATTGCCCTTTACTTTCTCAACTACTAGCAATTATGTAACCTTGCAGAAATTCATTCATTGGTATATATTGGATGTTTTATTATCTCTTATAATTGCTGAATAAGAATGGTTAGTCCTAATATATAATTTGGGGCCTGAATCTCATTTTATATTTGACACATTTTCTCTTTTGGATCATTAATTGGAGACATCCTATTCCAAAGAGATGGCACAAAGATTCGTCAGATTCATTTTATTTGTCACCTTGCAAAGTATAGCAAAAGAAAGCTGACAGTACAGCACTGATGTAACATCAAAGTCAATCACAATCAAAAAATAAAAGAAAAATTGGGCCTCATCTGAATTAAAATCTTTTGAGCATAAAAAGTCATTATCAACAGAAAAGATAACTCACAAAATGGGAATTTTTCAAAGCACTTATTTTATAGAGATTAATATCCAGAATATATAAAGAACTCATACTACTCAACAGCAACAAAAAAAATCAACAACCATTTTTAAAATGGGCAAATGATGATAGACATTTCTCCAAAGAAGATAGACATATGACCAACAAGCACATTAAAATATGCACAACATCACTAATCATTAAGGATATGAAAATTGAAATGAGTTAATACTTCCCACCTGTTGGGATGACTATTAATAAATAAAAAATAAATGTTAGCATGTATATGGAGAAAATGGAACCTTCATACATCACTGATGAGAATGTAAAATGATCCAGCCACTATGGAAAATGGTATGGCAGTTCCTCAAAAAATTAAATATAGAATTGCCACCACTTGACCCAGCAATTTCCCTTCTGAGTGTTTACCCAAAATAATTGGAAGCAAATACTCTTAACAGATATTTCTACACCAATGTTCATAGCAGCATTATTCACAGTAGCTGAAAAGTAGAATCTTATTTTTTTTATTTGTTTTAATTAGTTACACATGTCAGTACAATAACCTTGACATATCATACATTTGAATCAGATGGGATACAATATCTCATTTTTCTGAGTACACAGGTTGCAGAATCACATTGGTCATGCATTCACATATATATTCACAGTAATAATAATGTCTGTTTCATTCTATTATCCTTCCTATCTCCCCAACCCCTCCTCTCCCCTCCCATCACTTCTCTCTACCTAAGCTAGGGTAATGCTATTCTTTTTTTCTCACATCTTCATACATGTATTTTGTATAACAATGAGGGTCTCCTTCCACCATCCATGCAATTCTCCTTCTCCCTCCCTTTCCCTCCCATCCCTATGTAGAGGTAATCTTCTTCCCATGCTCTTCCTCTCTTCCCCATTTTGAGTCACCCCCTTTATATCAGAGAAGACATTCAGCATTTGTTTTTTTTGGAGATTGAGTAACTTCACTTAGCATAATCTGCTCTAATGTCATCCATTTCCCTGCAAATGCCATGATCTTATTATTTTTTAGTGCTGAGTAATATTCCATTGTGTATATATATGCCACATTTTTTTTTTATTCATTCATCCATTGAAAGGCATCTAGGTTGGCTTCACAATCTAACTATTGTGAATTGTGCTGCTATAAACATTGATGTGGCTGTGTCCCTGTC